GGGGCAGGAGAAGTAAACTCTCAACCGAAAACTCTTTTTCAATCTGAAAATCGATTTGAATTGTAGCTTCTCATTGTATTGTTTTCCTTTTATTTTCTTGCAGGATATTGTTTCAAAAGTTCTGTCATTTTCACAGCAAAGACCTCGGGCTCTTTGTATAATGTCTGGCACCGGAACAGTTTCTTCAGTCACTCTACGTCAACCCGCTTCAACAGCTCCTTCTTTAACATTCGAGGTTTCAAAATCCTTAGTTCAGTTAACTGAAAATACTCAAAACTTGTAAAACTTTTTATAACCTTTCTTTGTGTTTTTTAGGGACGTTTTGAGATCCTAAGTCTAGGCGGATCTTATTTGGTGAATGAAGAGGGTGGACCCAAAAGTCGAACAGGCGGTATGAGTGTCTCTCTTTCGGGTCCCGAAGGTCATGTTATTGGCGGTGGAATTGGAATGCTTATCGCAGCCAGCCTCGTTCAGGTTAATAAAAAAATTATTTTCGTAATGGTTGAAAAGTGAACCTACAAGTCATAGTTCTAATGTGTTTGTGCTTGAGTTCTTGCAAATTCATGTTTCATGTGGTAAGGTGTTGAATGCCATCAATCTCATACCCCAATTCTACTTCGTTTTTATTCGGTCTTGAATTAGAAGACTAACCAAAATAGAGAGTAAATAGCTAATCTTGATAGATATTATATTTATTTAGTATAAGTAGAACTATTTTCTTTGAAAGTATATAGTATGAGATTTTTGTGCTTTTTCTTATATTTCCGCTTCAAGATTTAGTTCTTGCGATTTCATGTTCCATGTGGTGCATAAAGTTTTGGTTTGCCTACAGAAAGTTTGGTTCTGTTTGGTATAAAATTTATGCCACCAAGTAAAACTCTTCAAAATTCAGTTCGGTTATATTGTGAGGATCGGTCTATATGCAAGAAGCGTCTCTTAACCGAAAACCTTGTTTGTTATTTTAAGGTGGTGGCTTGTAGTTTTGTATACGGAGGAGTTCCAAAGTCT